GATATCAAATACAACCATATATATTCATGCCTATTTGGAGAACATTTTCAAAATACCGAACAGCACTGCCATTTTCCAGTCAAAACAATGACCAAGCATTTCAGCTTTCCCTTTTAAAATCTTTTCAGTATTCTGTGCTTTATATACACAAAATAGACAAAAATTATATTGGAATCCAGAGCCAAAGACATGATGTTGAAAACAGAGTCTTGACAAAAAAAAATCTAGTACTGAAAATGATTTCTAAAATACACAACTATTAGGCAAAAGATGAAAAAAATTATTCCCTTATGAAATCCTAACTCTAAACTGATTTGTACACAGGGAGTTTCATGTAGCAAAAAATAAAATTTTATCAGTGTTTGCATGCTTTACAGACAATAGCAAGGTTTTTCTCTTTATTCTGTTTTTTTTGCACAGTGGCATTTAAATATTACATCCCTTTCTGTTCAAACTCTTTCTTAAGTCCCCTCCTGAATTCACACAGTGGCTATACTAAGCATGGTGGGGATTAAAAGTGGAGTAACAGTTAATTGCTTTTCTTAACAAGAAAATAAAGTACAAATATTTTGATTTGGTAAAAGCAGTTGAAAAGTCACATGTACTACCTTTCTGAAGAACTGTCATTGGGGAAGGAGATGACTATGGCAGGTTAAATACTACAGCATTCCCTCCATGTCTCACATGCAAATAAGGCAAAATGTGTGTATGCAGGTTAAAAAAGTTTATTGCAAAACAGCTCATGCTTTTAAGATGCAAACCCAAACACAACACAAAGATACTAATTTGAAACTTAAAAATTGAGTATGCAGGCCCAGCCAGTTTGAAGTTTTAAGTGCCGTTCTGATTTGAACAACTGATTCTGTGTGAGGGGAGTGAGCTACACATATATCACCTGTTAGACTTTCTTTTTAATGATTTGTGAGTAACAATCAAGATTTACCAAGAGTTAAGTTTGTTTTATTCAAGACAGTAATGGCTTATCAAATCAACAACATCATTTTCTATCTAAGCCCTTACAAAAAGTTTCCATGTCAATTTTTCTTTTCCTTGGATTCTTTCAACTTGTATGTTTTCATCATTATTTGAAACAATAATTAAATCTTGAAAATTTCAGACATTTTAGAACCTTAACAGATTTGTGTTCTTTTTAAAAGCCTGTGAGTTTTGAAATAAAACAAAGCAGCTTGCAAATAATAATATTTGTCTGAGATACAGAAACAGAATTGTTGACTAGATGCCTGCAGAAGCCATGGTAACCCCTCATCTTATAAACTCATAACAGAAGTAATTGTCTTAACACTAAAACACATCATAGATTTAAATTTGTATTAATTACTTTTACGTAGTTTGCAAAGTAATAAAGTATGAAAAGTAGGAAGAGTACCTTAGCTAAAATTTACATTTTTACTTGCTGAAGTTCTTGGAAGGGCACAGGGAGCCCAAATGTTGGAGTAAGCCAGTATTGTACCAGAGTAGTTTCAGGTCTAGAAAAATGTAAGCATTTAAACACTCTCATTTATACCTGCTGTGCTCAACAAGAATTGCATGCAAGCATGACAACTCTTTTTCCTCCTGCCCTCCTTATAAGACCATAAAAGCAGTTTACAGAATTATACTTACAGAACTAATTTTGGAAGACATTTAATGTAAGTATCACTCATTCCCCCTGCCAATTTCATTTCTACAGGCAGAAAACCATAAATTAGGTCACATGGATCATCCACTGGAAAACAGTAAAAATCTGCTGGATGAAGTCTGAAATTTCCTCAAATATCATACTGTAATTAAAAACCAGGGTCTGCTCCCTTACAGTGGACTTTGGCCTGAAGCTGTAACGTGGGAACAAAACCACAACCCTTCAGCCTGACAGAACAGGTAACACTGGGAGTAGGTGCTAAATTAGTAAACACCTTATGAGCACAGTTAAACCACATTGAGAACTGTTTGTCACTAAAAGAATGTACACCACAAAATGACATCAGCATTTTATTGACAGCTTCCTGGCAGGTCCACACATTCTGAACTTTAGCCTTGGGTTATAAAATAGGTACTAACAGCAATAAGTAGTAGTAGTCTTTTCCTTGGGTGCAATGGAGAGGCTCAGGGGGGACCTTATCATTCTCAACAACTCCTGAAAGTAGGGTGTAGGAGGTGGGTGTCAGTCTCATCTCCCAGGTAACCAACAACAAGATGAGAGGACATAGCCTCAAGGAGGAAGTTTAGGCTGGGCATCAAGAAAAATTTCTTCACTGAAAGGGCTGTCCAGCATTAGAAAAGGCTGCCTAAGAAAGTGGTTGAGTCCCTATCCCTGGAGGTATTTAAAGGAAGTGTAGATGTGGTGCTTAGGGACATTGTTTAGTGGTGGACTTGGAAGTGCTCCATTAATGGTTCACCTCTTGCAGGTCCTTTCCAGTGACAGGGCTCTGTGAATCACCCTATGTAGCTTAAATTGCTCTCTCTTCATTGCTTACCTAGCCAGGTATGCTTGCATCATTAAACTTAACATTCTTCTGAAAATCAAATCGGTATTTGGTAGTGACAGTGTTTACACAGAAAGGAATAGGGTTAGCCCTGTCATGACTGACTCAGGTGCACTTTTCAGGCAACTGTTACTTCATTCCTTCCATCCTAAAACACTTGGGTGATGAAGTGACGTGACATGTGACATGAAAGTTCAAAGCAAACCTCCATGCTTTAGTGATTATAAAAACATATACTTGGCCTGGGTTACAGTTAATGTCATTCAAGTGGCTTAGATTTTTTTTAATATAGGGCTGCTACACTATAGAGCTATGGAAATCATACATTTTTGTTAATATTCTTATGATAGAGGATAGAAGGTCTGAGTTCCAAGTACTGGCATCAAACTGCCAGTATAGATACCTATTCATAAAAAAAGTAAAAGTCTTGTTTCAGAATCAGTTTATGGCACAACAGAAAAAAAAAGAAATTAAAGCGGTGTTTAATTTACAGATGAGTAAAGAAATACTTCAGCGCCTCAAAGATTTCTTTCCTGCTTTCAGTTTCATAGAAAATTTGAACTGAAAGCAGAAAATGACACCCTGAAAACTACAGCACTTTGAGTGGCAGGAGCACACATGGACCTTTAAAGCCATTGTTTAGCTGTATTCATCTGAGATGTTACAAGCAATTACAATGTGCATGACAGGATTATTTAAAAAAAGACAAAAATCAGTTTTTAAAAAGTAGTGCTTAATCATGTCACAACCCACATTGTGTTACATACAACCAGTGGTTCTGGTGACATCGGTGAAAATTCAGCACATAGGTCAGGAAACCAGATTTTAGCCCAAATATGTGTAATATAATCATAACCTAAGCTATCAGCAAACCATTGCTGTAAACAAGTCTTTACTGAGAGGTAAGAGCCCTTTCACGTACAGTACTACTGGATGCTGAATGTATATTTCCATCTACCTACCTTTTGTTTCACACTAGCTTTAATTAAATGTTACTATTATGCAATGATGTAACTTTAGAATATTTTGATAAAGAAATTTGGGGTTATCTTTGAAAGATTGTTAGAATGCCTGTGCTAACTGTTAATGCTTTAACTGGACTACAGCTTATATATTGTATCTACACCATATTTCCATATAATTTATATGTAAACAGAATTTGTATTTCAAGCACCATTTAGGAAAATGAAACATATATCTTTTGTTGCACTGAAATTCAAAGTCAGGTTTGGTCACCCTGCTACACATTCATCCTGGATATCAAAGCAAATGTCTTACAACCAATAGCATAAGCTATCTCACATACTTTGCTCCCCCACTTTTCTCAGGATCAGAAACAGCATGATAAAAAATTGTAAGGTGCATGAATAAAGGCCATTCCTGAAAAAACTGCAACATTCTGACAGACACTCATAAAACGCATTTCAGAAAGAACATCCACACAGGCATAAATACTCATTCTTAGAAGAGTGACTTGCACAGGGGTCATTTCAGACTGCAG